ATCTTAGTTTAGATTTTATTATATAATTAGAAACTCCCTATTCTCTTTTTATTTTTTCTACATTTCGTCATCTTATTTGGCTAAAAATTGAGATATTATATTTATTTTTGCGGTTACTTTCATTTGCGTAACATTCGCACTATCTGAATAAGGTAATTTCCTTTAGGATATGTTTTTTGTTGGAAAAAATTACTTTCGGGCTATATTTACATGCAAACACTCTAACAAGTGCATTGACTCATCGCTATTTTCATTCTGCTATCACACCTGCTATAAGTGAACCCCTTTTCGTGGTGGGACAATGATTAACTTGATCAGGTCTCAGCTGTTACTTCTCAGATTATCACCGTCTAGTCTCCACCCCTTCACGAAGAGAGGGCGTTCTTCTCATTTTACTTCTCGTCATCGCTCGCGCCTTCGAGGAGCACTTTATTTATTGCTCGAGTTGTTATTGTGTGAACCATTATTATCGTGAATGTCTTGATTTTTGATCTTTGAATCTTATTTTTCGCGTAAAAATTAGAAAAATGCAAATTTGATCAAGTTTTTGAGTTACTATCTATGTTATAGAATGAACGATTCTGACGAAATCTTAGCCGAGGAATTTCAAGAAGTTTACCAGCTTACACCGATTATCAAGGTAACTCTTGATTTTTGATTTTCCTATTAAAAATAAGTTTTTTTTAGGTTCTTTGCATCTGTTTTTACAATGTCCTCTGTGTCAGTTCGGTTTACGGTAACTCCCTCGTTATCATGATTATACTTTATTTTCGAAGACTAAGGACTGCTACCAATATCCTTATCCTTAACCTGGCCATAGGTAAGTCACAATTTGACCTATTCAATCGATAGTGGTTTCTTATTACTTCTTAATGACCAGCAATAAAGAAGGTTGTTGTTCTTAGTGAATAACTTACCCTCCTATTCTTCTTCCGTTTGTTATTCAAGCTTTTCACTCTAGTAAAATCGAAAAGGCATTGAGAATTCAGAAAGCACTGCTTTTGACCTTTATTCACTGGTTTCTCCAGCACTTCTCGTAACAGAATAGTCTAATAAACTTGTTTTTGATTCCAGACTGGGAAACAATAGCATTCGTAGTACCGCTGAGAGGAAAAAATATTTTTCATGGTCGATTCATCATTACTTGTCACTAAACTGACGATTAGCTGAGATATTGAGCGATCAGTTTGTTTTGTTTACGTCACTAGCTCGGTCTGTTCAGAACATCGCTCGACAAAAACTTGAGGATTTTAACAAAAAACATCCAGGGGTCAATGGAAAAAA